AGTCAGAAAAAAATAAATTTAGAGAACTAGATTGACCTAAATCGTTAAGCCTCGTCTAGAATTAAATTTCAAAAAATAAAAAATAAAATTGAGGGCATTGGGAGCTAGATCAACACCGCGCCTTGGGTCAGTGGCGTCATCTAGAGTTTTTTTTTTATTATTAAATATCAAATTTCTTATTTTAATAATTTTTTTTTTCTAACAAAAAATGTACACAAGGGCATGCGTTTTGTGTTTAAACATTTTTCACAAGTAACTGTTCTTGATTATATATCGAAATTCGGGTTTTATTTTTTTTTTCTAACAAAAGTGTACATAAGGGTATGCGTTTTGTGGTTTATCAGTAATATCGCAACATTGTGTTTAACTCTTTATTTTATTTTTTTCATTTTAATATGTATGCATGATTTTAAATATTTCAAATTAATTTTAATACAGAATCTACTTGAAAATTGTAACTGACTTATATGTACAGTATTAATTGTCTTTAAAAGTCATGAAAGAAAAAATTATAACAAAGTCTTTTTAAATTAAATCTAAAAATACCATAATGAGTCTTTAAATTTGAGATATAATTATGTTATTAAAATAGGTCATTATTTAGCCATTAATTAAATTCTATGTTGTTACTTTTCCTATATTTAGAAAAAAACCACTGACATAATGGGATGACAGACTAATACAAATCTAAAGTGGAAAACAAACTTGTCTTTAATTCTTAAGAACACAAGGTATTTAGATAGGAAAATAGAGGAGGATGCTCGGATTTGGCCTTTCATTCTCTTTGGTATGTTTCAAGTGGAGCAATTACAAACTTTTTGAGTAAACAACATAAAAAATTATTTCAGAAATGTAGAATGAATTGTCTCCTCTATTAATTGTCGATAATACAAATTAAAGGGAATGGATTGTTATGGAGTAGATATGGGATTGATTTAGGAATGAGAATTATTTAGACAAGTATTATGTGACAGCTTTTCATAAAAGTCCTATTTTCTTTTAAAACATAATCTTGCTAAAGTGTTATATTTTATAATTAGGATTGTTCTATCATTTGTACCGTGTGATCAGACGACCGGGAGGGACGCTTGGCAAGGACGGACGGCCTCACAACACGAATGATTAATCTCAGGGAGATTAAGATAAATCGTGCTTAAGGATATTCGACCGGGATTGGACCGAGATTAAAATATTGTCAATCCTAGACTCACACCCAAAAATTATAAATATAAGTCAAAGGTAAGGGATAGGTGATGACATTTACTGTGTATTTATTACTGTCACTGTCACATTGGATTACTGAACGGTTCAATTACTGACTTTGGCATCGGAGTGCTTTTAGCAGGTACACCTCTGGACAGATGAGCAAACGGAAGTACAGGGAGCGAGATCGAGCGACAGGAAAGGACAAATTGTAAATGTATTCAGTTACTCAACCCCACAACCGAAACAATTTGTTTAACAATGTATGAGTATATGTGAATATTTGAGTGTTGAGATGGTCAAATTAATTATTTTCAAGGGTAAATGTTGATTTAGAATGAGTTTAAGTGTATTGAAAGAGATTTATAATGTGAGATTATCCTAACTCTACTAGTATTTAACTCACATAAATGATGATAACTAGATAGTAAGAATCAAAATAAGCCTAACAAGGTAGACAATATATTAAAAATATATGATGTTCCACTCAAATTATTGTTGTAGAAAAGGAAAAGAGGATGACCATTATGATTGGTGAAAAATCTCTCGAGTTCATTCAATACATTGATTTTCCTCGAGTAGAGTATAATTTCGTTGTGTTGTTTAAACCACTTTGTACTTATATTTGTTTGAGCCATGAATGTGATTTGTTTACATTTTTTAACTAGTTTATATAATGAATAAATTGTTGTTTGATCCATTTTAGCATAAAATTGAATGAGTTGGTTGGATAGTTGGTTTTAAAGAATGTGAACCATTTGAGTAGTTGGATTGAATTTTTTTTTATGGAAAATGTTTGTTGAATTACTAATTGAGTTATGTTAATGGAAAAATGAGGAAAACTATGTTAATCATTTAATTTATGCCCTTGTAGTTAAATACATTAACTTTAGTAAACTAATTTTATTCTATTTCAAAGCTTTATTTTGTCAATTTTTGTAAAGAGATGTGATTTGTTTTATGGAAAATGTTTGCTGAATTAGTAATTGAGTGATGTTAATTGGAAAAAGGAGGAACACTAAGTTTATGATTGAATTTATGTCTTTTAGTACAAAACATTAACTTTAGTAAACTGATTTTATTATATTTCAAAGTTTTAATTTGACAATTTTTGTGAATAAATATGATCTCTTTCTATTTGAGACTATTTTTATGAAAATTTAGCTTACTTTTGCATTTATGTGTCTCTTCTTTCTTTACTTATGCAATAACTTATGATGTTAATTCTTGTCATTATCTAAGCCTAACTTTATTAATAAAATTATCTCTTTTATAGCTTATAACTTGCTTAATTCCTCAATTTTACATTACTTTTGTAAATATCTACATTTTGGATTACACTAATTTATTTATACTTCTAATTCCCTCCTTTTGTAACTAATTTTGTGTTAGAAATATCATCTACCAAATCAAAGAAGCTTGACAACCCAAAGAAGCAAAAAGAACATAAAAAAAAGGAAGTTCTCAAAGTCCAGGTGACACTAGGCGCCACCTTCTTGCCGCTGGTGAGAGCATTCCAAAGGGCTCACCGTTGAGTGTCCAAAACCACTGCTGATTGAGCATATTCCAGAGAGCAAATCTAGTGTTTACGAAGACTTGTGCTGAGTGGTAGGCCCCATGCGCCGAGTGACTCGCGTATGTGTGGGTGTGAGTGAGTGTATGCATACGTGCGTGTATGTTGAAAAATACATACACATCTCGTCATGAAGGGTTATCTTTTAATACTTTAAAGATTTAACAAGATAAATAGTCTCAACTATTTACGAGAGATAATTTTTCAATATTATAAGATTCAACTTATATGAACGATGATCAAAGGTTTCACTTTCTTTGACCATTAATATTTCTTACCTTATGGATCTAGGTAAAGAAACACACAACTTACAAGAAATCTACATTATTTATTTATTAACGATTTATTTATTAAAGATGTATATAGATATAAATTCTATTATCATGCCACATCTTTCAAATAGAATCATTATCACGAACAAGTTATCTTTAATTTAATTATTATTTTATCATTAATTATTATTGGTTATTCGATTAATGAGTATGTTGCTCCTCACATAATACATAAAAACCTTATATGATCTCTCATTTGGATTTTTGATTTTTCAAGATAGGTTAACACTTTGACAAGAAAGATGTTGTAGTCATAAAGATGCATCTCCTGTAGTAGTTTTGAAGTTTAAATGGTAGTTAAAAGTTTGAATGAGAAAAATATAAAGATAGTTATCTCGTATTTGAAGAAATAATATTTAAGCAAGAGTAGAACATTCAAAATAATTATCGCATTGAAATAATTTGTTATTTTCTTTATCTTAAAAAAAATGCAGTGAATATATGTACTGTAACTCTTGATGTTCATTGTGTTTTTTTTTTTTAAAAAAGAAGACATGCATAGTCAATGATAAGAATGAAAATCTTTAAAAATTACGAGAAGGTGAGTTAGAAGCAATGTATAAATGATTAAGTAAATGTTAATATCAAGTGGCTAATTGATATTAAATAAAAAATAATGATTTATGGACTACTTTATTTATGGAAATAACTGTAAAACCCTTTTAAAATATAAATTATGATCGATAATATAATGTACATGTTAAATTACTTAAAACATAGATGTAAATGAAAATAGCATGTGACGAGAAACTAAGTAATGTTTTTTTTAATTATACGAGTTTAACATAAACTCCAATTCCATAGAGTTTATAACAACTTCTTTCATAATATTTTAGGTTAATAATTATTTTATATATTGATGAGATGTGATATTTTGATAAGTGTTGACCATGTTTTAACACAATTAAATAATGTTAAGTAATAACAAATTATTGAAGAATTATTCAAATATTTATGTTTGAAAATCTTTTTCTATTTATTTGAATATAATATATTAAAGTAGTTTTACTAATGTTATAAATAAGAAAAAGAGTATGTTTTTGTATAAAAATTAATGTATATTTATGAGATCTTATAAATAACATATGTATATATGTATTGTATGACAATATAGATCCATAGACGGACCAGATACAACTGCGAGAGGGGACGATCGATCCGAATGGGCTGTGGTCAATGTTGTTAAGTACTATCCGTTAAATACTAATTGACCGCACGACTATGGAAATGAGAGACAGATAAACTGGACGACCCTAGTACTAGGAACCCCTAAATATTTATCCTAATCAAGATTACTGGTAAGAATTACTTAGTCAGAAATGGGTCGTGATTGGATCACAATTAGGATTTCACTAATCACAAAAAAACCTATAAATAAAGGTTAAAAGTAAGAAGATAAGTAATTACATTTATTACGAAATTAAAATAAAATTTTACTGTGACTCCAATCAAATAATCACTAACATAAGAGTATCAAAGTGGTTTTAATAGGTACACCTGTACGAGAATATGAACAAAGAATGCTTACACTTTTGTAAAATAGTATATAAAAGTAATGGGTTACACTTGAGGTGAAAGTTTGATGCGTTTTTTTAATTTGTTTTAATAGCAATCAAAATACAAACACACGTATATACATACAATATAATATTTAATTTTAGTTTTATCACCGTATTTACTTTTTTATTTTAATAAATATTCGCAAATTGTAAAAGTAGTCCAGAAATACCTTGATATTCGAAATTATTTTTAACTTTAATATATGTTTTTTTATTAGTTAAAGTTAGAAAAAAAAAACAGTTTCGATATTTTAATTATTTTACATGTATTAAAATGAAAATTGATATACACAGATTTCTTATTTATTATTTTTACTTGTGTAATATGACCCGATGCAGTGAGAACAATCCTAATTAATCCCTGTGTGCACAAATTCTTTCAAACTCTAAAGGTCGTATTAAAAATTACAATCCTTCAATTAAAAATATTTTTTTTAATATTGTTTATGAATGAGAAATTAAGCAGTTTTATTGGTTAGTATTTTTGTCAAGCCCAAACAAAATAAAACAGTGGATTTCAAATTTTAAAGCTCGATACCACATCGCCTTCAAAGTGGGTCCTACAGGATTGAATAATCATTCCAGATACCAAAACGAGTTGGGACATAACACAATTGAGCTCCATTCATACAGAGAAAAGAAAATATCTGACTAATATCTCAATCCATTATTCTTATTCTGTCCCTCAATCTGAGTCTTCAACAGCTCCAAACTATCTAATCCTTATCACTTCAATTGTTCATTATCCAGTCGTCAAATTAAACAAATTACAGTCTTACTATACTCTAAGTCTTCCAATGTTCCCTGCTCTGTGCCTAAGTTCCCCCAAAACCACACCACCATCAGGTTCACCAGTGTGCATATGTTAATTTGTATATTGTGTTATCTCTTTATATTCTCGGTTTGATTCTAACTAAGCTATTTCTGTACTCAAACTTTAGAATCCTTAGGTATTGGTATAGAAAGCTATGCAAATTCGAAGCATATTGGAGTCAATTATGTGTTTATTGGCCCTCTCACTGCCAAATATCGCCCTGTCATTGCTAAGGTACATTTTCATATGCAAAATAACTTTAGTTAAAATATGTGTTTCTTTAAGCAATTACGTCATCAAGAGCTCAATTTTCACTGTTCAGAAATGACACACCAAGGGATTCAAATCCCATGATTTGAGGTTGGTAGTTATGTCTGCATAAGCTAATGTCAGTTTCTATTCACATAGGCTGCTAAAGAAGACCGAAACACCAAAACGAATAGTATGATTTGTGCTGACTGTGATGGGAATGGTAAGATGGCTTGTGACTTTACATGACTGGTAGATGCAAAGTAATTTTCTTTCATTTTTTTGCAACACATGAACTAGTCTAACCAGAAGATGTATAAAGGATTTGAAATAGTACATTTAAAAAGAAAAAAAAAGAAAAGAAAAGAAAAGAAAGAGAAAGTATCTACTATTTGAAAGTTTTGGTTTTGTTGTGTGATTAACAGGAGCTGTTCAATGCTCTCAATGCAAAGGTAATGGAGTGAACTCTGTTGATGTTTTCAATGGACAGTTTAAAGCTGGTGACTCCTGTTGGCTTTGCGGGTACCTAAATAAACCATTCCATTCCATATCATTTTTCTTATGTTCTATCTCATACATTCTAAAATTTCACTTCTTCATTTCTGACCTAGTAGGATAATAAGAGTGTTGTTTGTTTTCCACATTGGATTCATCTCAGTATTTTCTGTTCTTTGTAGAGGAAGGAAGGAGATGTTATGTGGAAATTGCAACGGGGCAGGCTTTGTTGGTGGCTTCTTGAGCACTCATGATCAGTAGGAACAGAGTCCTTGAATTGCTGAGAATACTTATTATATGTCTGTGCACATATACATGTATATTAAGGCCTTCAATACTTTCACTCTGCAGATTTTATAGTTGGTACTTACGAGTTCATTTGAAGACTTTAGTGGTTGTTTAAAAACAAAAAAATAAGAGCTTAGTATCATATTTATCTATCCATTACATACTGTGGTAGCTGCCACATCTCTCTGAAATTCCTTTCATTTAAACAAAACTCATCATATTAGCTTTGGCAGTCCTTTCGAGATTACTTAAAGTTACTCAACCCAATGGGGGACTATATATTTTAAGCACTTGGGGAATAAGAACACCTAAGTATAAGAGAAATGATACTATGACACACTTTTACATTCATTTGACACAGAGTATAAGGGTAAAATAGTCTTAAAAGTGTAAAATTTTGTATTTTTTCAAGAAAGAAGAAAGTAAAAAATAAGTAAGGATAGTGTCAAATCAATGTAAAAAATTTAGGTGTGTCAAAGAATCATTTTTCCTAAGTATAATATAGACAGGAAAGGGATCCTCTTGTATAAGTCATGCTTCAATTTTGGGTCAGTTTCTTTTATGATGATTATCAAATATACAAGATTTTTGAAGGTGAAAAAAAGTCATTGTTAAGTAAAAATGACTAAGATAAGTAGTATATAAGTAAAAGAATCCATAAACCTATTATAAAGTCTAGTCATGCAGAAGAGGCAATGAGAAGATGCTTAGAGTTGAATTCTACTCGTAATTTTTTTCCAAGCTATGCAGAGGTGACGAAGTTAGTTTTTTGAAAGTGTTCTTCGTGTCATCAATTTCAGAAAGTCCTTTGGAATATGCATCAGCGTCTTTGTTTGGATAAAAAACAAGCCAAGTAGTGCACCGGTTCACTTGTCATATTTCTTTAATATCTTCCCTAGACCTGCTTACAAATTCATCACCAAACCCCCTCACAATTCCATAAAATCAGAAAAAGGGTTAGGAAATGGTTGAGCTTATGAGCATCCTCAAGGAGTGGAGTGAGAGCATCTTTGGGACACTGCCTTCAATTGTTTCTCCAAGACTTTTTCGACAAGAACTGCTGGATCTGCTTCTTGAGGATCCTCCAGAACTTATGACAGCAACTCTACTAATGATTAATCAATTGCATGGTTTTGCACAAGGATGTTAGTATAGTTGAGTGGATGAGAATAAAAGTAAAAAAAGGAAAAAAAAATGCTATTTTTCGGGTTCTGGAATTAGAATATTAATACTGAAGTTGGAACATCTCTAATGTTCCACAGACAGTAGGAATGGGTTTCAACTTTTAGTGAGTGATAACAGTATAATACTGTGAAGACCTGAAACTGCTAAAATAATATATACTTCAACTTTCGACCTCAAGTCTGGAACATTTTCCTTACTACTACAGGATATTTGGGATTGATCAAAATCGGTGTCCTAGTCATAAAATTGTACTGTAGTGAATGAACCAGATGCTGTAGTTCCTGTAATTGGATGGATCATATCCAAATATTCTATACTAATTCATCAAACAATAATCTCAATGCTATAGACTTTTTTGCATCCATTAGACGGACGGTGTTTTAACTTTGATTCAATGTGTTTTTCTTATCTATTATGCTTTGAGGAGCATGTGTTATGGTAAACTAGTCCCACATCGACCAATACTATAATATAGAGATGAACTAAGACCTATAACAATTTAAAGTTTTGTCCTCGTAAAGTATGATCCTTCAGGCAGTTAATGGGATATGATGAGTGGTAAATGCTTGCACTTAATATGCAAGAGGGGTGTCCGCCCCAGCCTGGTTACGACTATGAGGCACTCTCTTTTTGACCTATCTGATCCCTAATCCATGCCAGTAATAGTTTGTTTAAAAACTTTTAAAATTCAAGTTATTTCAAAATTTCTTAAATTTTGATTTATTTTATATATTTTATACTTTATTTGTTAACTTAATTTTATTTTAATAAATTTATTTGGTATTTAATTTGTTTTTTTTTATCTTCATCTTTCAAATTTTGTAATTAATTTATGTAGAATTATTTGATTATCTTTTGTTTAAATTTATGCTAAACTAACCTAATCTCTTATTGCATGTGTTGAATTAAATTGTGACTTTTTAAGATAAAGGTGGGCTAATGTACACACCCTCCAATATAAAATCAAGGTTTTCTTTTGTTTTCTTTTTCTTTTTTTGACAAGATAAAATTAAGGAATTTTTTCCACAATCAATAACAATGTTGTCAAAACACTGAAAAAGTTATATTAAAAATAAGATTTTATTATTGGTCTTTGTTTTTATCTAAAAACGTTAATGGTTATTATATTTGTGAAAAATTGATCTTTGTGAAAATTTGTAGTTTACTGTTTTCATTAAATTTTTTGAATACCGAACAAATATTTTTTTCATTGAGAACCAATTTTATTTTTTGACTAAAACAAAAATTTACTTCTTTTCATTAATTTCGGATCGACATTTTTTTCATTAAAACAGAAACCAAAATGATATTTACATAATTTATACAATTTTCTGAGTATATATTCAACCTTACATAACTTATAAAATGATATATATAAAAATCATTTGATCTTTAATTAATGAAAAGCAAGTAATTATTTTAATATTTCGTGACTCTTATAATATTAAATTTAAATTCTTATAACCTAACACTCTAAAAAACTTTGAAAAAACTCAATATTTTATCAAAATAAATTCATATATCTTATTCCATTAAAAATACATAATTTATTCCTCCTATTCTTTCAAGTGCAAAGTTTAATTATCTTGATTAAAAACATTATACAAATTATAGAAATTTTAAAATTACATTAACCTAATATTTGTCTAATAAATTAGGAGTGAACATAAAAAAAAATATATTGTACTTCGAAGTTAAGAATGACAATAAAGAATACTCATGTTTATTAGTTTGTGGTTACATGTCAATGATACAAAGTAATATCAAATTGAGACAAACTAACATAAAATATCATTCTCCTTCTAAATTTTGCTTTTTTAATTTTTGTAAATAATTTATATTTGTAATTTTTTAATCTGTGACTAATCCACTTTGTGAAAGGGATTAATTTTGAGTCTTAAAAAGATGTGTTGTAAGTGAAGACAAAGAATAATTATATTCCAATAAAAAATAAAAAAAGTTATTCGTTTTTGTTAACTAATAGTAAAGGAAGACAAATTTATCATGAATTTGACATAATAGTATGATAAAAAAAACAAACAAATATAAATTTAATGTTCTACATTTTTTTTTCTAATCTTCATAACTAATAGTTGTGAATTTTATAGTATTTGTGAAAATAGCTGTTTTCGTAACAATTGCCATATGTTTTTTTTATTATATGCAGTTGAAATTATACATGATATTTTCTTGGTTTTAGAGAAAGTTTTTAAATCTCCTAAAAGCACAATTCAATTTTTTTTTATGTTTTTTTTTTTGTGTTGTAGGTTTTATTTTCTGTTTGTTTTGGATATGCAAAAATTGGGTTGCACTCAATGCAAGAATCAATCCATTTAAATTTTTGTGTGTTGCAATAGGGTTGAGTTGAACTTTGTGTAATTTATTCTATTAACATGGTCCAGTTTCTATCAAATCGAATGAATATATAATAAAAGTTCATTATATTTTATTATAGGATGATGTTTCATGATTGTATATAAGGATGTTTCAAGTCGTAGTGAAGATTAATGTCAAAACGTGAGTAATAAAAGAATGGAGTAATTCAGTGCATAACTTAATGCAATTGGAAGAAGATACAAGGTCAATATAAAATGTTATATTTATTGCATAAAAGACCTTTAACGTAACTCTTTATATGTCTGATTTTCGAATATCCAACGTAAAAAATGATCGATGATATTTTCCGTAAATAAAACAACCATATAGACGTCTGTTCTGGCGGTAGCATACGTCTAAAGCCATATAGATGTCCAATGTGGGGAAACAAACTTCTATATACTTATTTTTTAAATATAAAAAGTCACTTTTTAACTCTATTTAGACGTCAGATCCCGCCAATCCGACTTCTACAGCCATATAGACGTCCGATGTAAGGGGAACAAACTTCTATATACTCATTTTTGAAATCTAAAAAGTCACTTTTTAACTCCATTTAGACGTCCGATCCCGCCAATCCGACTTTTACAGCCATATAGACGTCCGATGTGGGGGGAACCAACTTCTATATACTCATTTTTGAAATCTAAAAAGTTACTTTTTAACTCCACTTAGACGTCAGATCTCGCAAATCCGACTTCTAAAGCCATATAAACGTCTGATGTGGGGGGAACCGACTTCTATATGACTGCATTAAAACACTGAAAACGCGAGGCAGCAGTTACGCCCACTTAATATTCATCATCTTCCTCGCGTTTTCTCTTTACGAGTTACGCTTTTCAGGTTCATTTTCTCACTTTTGCACCGTTTTAAATTAATTTTACTCCGATTACATCACTTTTTGATGCATTATCTTTCATTTGAACCGATTAAAATGCATTTTCGTTAGTTTTGCTCGTGTCCTTGGGCGACAATTTCTTGCGTTTTGCACTCCTCCTCCAATTCTCTCCACTACGTTTTTAAAACTATCCAATACAAAAAAAAACGTATAATACATTCTTTTCAACTAAAATATAAAGTTGTAAACTCGAATCAGCATGAGCCAGAGCAACCCGAGAGGCCTCAAGCGGAAAAAGATTCAATCAAATACAACGACGTTTTAGACGTCTGATCTATAGTGTCAGACGTCTATATAAACGTTTGACCTGTATGGATCAGACGTCTATATAGACATCAGACCTAGGTCAGACGTCTCATTAACGTCACGGGTGTTGCTCCCTCCACCACCACCCTATACTTCCTCCACCTCCCCACATTATTTTAAATACAATTATATCCTTAAGTTAAAAAGATTTTTACTTTTACCCTATTTTAAATAATTTGAAATCCTAATTTTACTTTCCCAGCACCAACCCACGGAACTCTCTTCCCCATTCCCCATTCCCCATTTTCGTTTCACCTCCCCACCTCCCGCACTTCCATTCCTTTTTCTTCCTAGTTTTTTTTTTTTGGTTTGAAAGCTTCCATTGCCGCCATGGTGTAGAGGAACATCGAGGAGCATCCAGAGCATCAACCAACGTGAGGAAGTATACATCAACGGAGGTGACATCCTTCAACGAATGTCCCCTAATAAAACAAACTCAAATAAAAAACGTAACCTTTAAACGAAGGTGACATCTTCAACGGATGTCGACATCCTTTTTCCTTAAACGGATGTTGACATCCGTTGAAGGATGTTGACATCCGTTGAAGGAT